CAGCTCAATTTTGATTCTATTGGAATTCTTCTTGAAATTTCATTCGAATTCTTTTGGATTCTCTTGGAATCGGCCTCACAAATCGCCCAGAATTCCTTTACTATTCGCTAAGTTTGGAGCAGGGTTGAAAAAATCATGAAAAAATCATCAGCATTCACTATGAAATGAATTTTTCACCCATAGTGAACTTTGATGAATTTTAGTGATTTTTTCAGCCCTGGTTTGGAGACCTTTGGAGTTCACGGGAATTGCTTAAATAATTTATCAGAACTTATTTTAAAAACAACAAGACGTAGGACTACGTGGTCTTATATAATAAATCTTATTTGTTAACTGCAGCAGGAGATTGCGTTTTGTGTAGGAATCGGGATTCTTTCTGTTAATACTCTTCAGTATGACGCGCTTGACATAGATGGCCCACAGCGACTCACTGATTACGATCAATAGTGGTGCGGCTTCTTCCTCCTTCTATGAATGCTCACATGGGCTGCAGCTCGCAGCTTGCAGGCAGCCTTTCGTTGTGTACTGGAGAACAATGTTCAACGCCACGTGCCGAGAGCACTGCTGCTGCTGCTGCTGCTGATGCCGACGTCCGGACACCACCACACACGGTGATTGGAACTGAATCCGATCAGCAGTTGAGGTCAGCCTTGATAGCTAGCGACTTGCGGGGAGCTTTTAGTTGTGTAACGGAGAACACCACCACTCACCACACCGTTTGATAAGACCGGATGGAATTCAACTTTGAAATCTGTGTTAGGGAAATCGCTTTTCGCAGGCAATTGGTGATATTTTTAATTATCATAGCAACATTTTCACATTCGTGCATTTTTCAATAGTGATTCGATTGGTGATAACATTATTGAAATTGGTCCAGGAGCAGCTGAGTTATTAACGTTCAAAATCTTTCATAATTTTGTTACATGTTCCAGTTTTGGTTTCACATACGTAGTCCTACGTCAAAACTTATTAGAAGTTAGACCAAGAATCCTCATCCAATCGTCATAGAATTCTTTTCAGAACCCTCGTTTTTCTCTCAATGTCTCAATTATTTCGGAATTCTTCCAAAAATTGACTGAAGCTCGTATGTGTCAGTCTCAAGGCCGATTTTTCCACCTCCGCTTAAATTTACAATTTCGTAGTGTGTAGTTTGGCATTCTTCTCTGAAACATTTTGATATCATCCGTAGAATTCCTTTGATATTCACTTCAAATTTCCTTTGGAATTTTCATTGATATTTCTAGATAATTCATTCAAGACTTCTAAAAATCTAGCATAGACCAATATCCTTGAAAAGTTGCCAAGATGCAGAATTTATTTTCGAGAAAAGGAAGTTTATTTTCCCCGATTTGTCCTCGAAATTCAAAACGATTCCATGTTTGTTTCCCGCTGTTTTAACATTCCTTGAAGTTGTCCGGTTATAATTGATTATTTTTTGACAGATATGCATATTTCGTCATAACTACTGTAGACTTCCTTAGTGCAAAGTACCCAATGTAAACATGTTTTTCTCACCCTATATGGGATGGGAAAAAGTGAGTATAGTGACTAATGATATAAAATCCCGCTAAAAATCGAAAAAAAAATCATCGGGGCTGGCTGACCTGAAAAAAACTTTGAAGGCAGGCAGAAAGCAAATGTTCTTTTGGAGTAAGTCTGAAGAAACTTTCGGGGAAAATTTAAAGAAACTTCTACGGAAAGTCTGGACGAACTTCGGGGAACAGTCGGAAGACACTTCCAAAAAAAAAAACAATTTGTTCTCACACACTTTTTGAGAGATTTGGAGGACTGTCCCAGAAGAAGTTGTAAGAACATTCCGAGCGAAGTGTGGATAGACTTTCGAGAAAGGTCGGCTGCAATTTCTCGGGAAGTCGGAAGACAATTACAGGGGAACACTCGAATGAAAATTCCAGGGGAAGCTGAACAAATTTCCTGGCGAAAACGGAAGCTAGAAGAACCCTCCTGATATAGTTGGAAGGATACTTCAGTATAAATCCGGAAGAATCTTCCAGCATAAGCCAGAAAGGTTTTGGGGCAGTTAGAAGAAAGGTCTAGTAGAAACCTGACTAATCTTCTGGAAAGGTGTCAACCTGGACCTGGAAGAGTGCTGGGAATTGCTGGAAGAAGCTTTGTGGAGAAATCTTCCAGGAATAAAAAATTGTAGAAAACTTAGGATGAAGTTCTTTCTTCGAATTTAAACGAACAAAATTTCAGGAGAAACCAGAAAAAAATGAGGGCACTTTCCAATTTTTTTAAGTAATTGAAAAAAAATCTTTCAATAGTTTTTGAAAGAAGTTTTCTGGAAAAGTAGGAGAAACATCCAAGCGATGTCAAAAGAAACTTCTAAGGGGAAATATAAAGAAAAACGTCCAGGAAGCCGGAAGAGTATTCCAAGGGAAGCCAGAGGTTGTATCGTTTAACGATTGACATTTGAATTAAAATAGTTGCACACAAAATATGCTTTAGAACAAATAGAAAAAAGGGTTCTAATACTATTGTTTTAATATTTAGTAGGTTGGTGCCTTCGGTGATATTTTTGTGCTTAGTAAATCTCTTCTTTTGGTACTGTTGAACATAAAAGGTGACTCACAAATTAATTGATATTCAAACACTAACTTTTGTATTTTTTTTTTAAATTAAGACATATAACTTTTGGTAAAGTTATCGCTGAGTTAATCTCGAGCATTTTTTTTTTGTTTTCTGTACTGAGTACCAAATCTACCGACGCAAGGGAGGTAGCTCCCACACCTGGATCCTACATATCAACCCATCAACTCATTATTATTTGTTCATTAATTTATTTATTGTCTTTTTTTTCAGTATATTTTTTTATTAAAGGCCATTGGAATACATACAACTTCTTCTCAAATGTTATTTTTATCAGGCCTAAATTGTTTTTTAGTTATGATTTTTTGAAAAAAAAATACATTATCTATCCGCTATCAAGGCTTTTTAAAAAGTTACTCCGGGCAAAAAACTCATATTTAAATGAAAAATACAACCTTGGTTAATATCCAACATATGAGCAAAGTTTCATTCAAATCGGAAACAGTCATGTCCATGTGTTTTGGGCTGAAAATGCACAAAATTGTTTCTAGAAATACATTATTATTCTTTACAACTTTGTTTCAGACGTAATTTCGATCAGAAGTGCGGTTTCCGTGCTACAACTTTTCGGAAAATTTCAAAGACGCTGTTTAGAAAATTTTACCTGATCCAAAATAGCCGAATTTTAGCAAAAATGTGAATCATTACCCATAACAAACAATTATGCAAACTTTCATGCAAATCGGAAAAGGTCAATTATCTAATCATAATTGTTAATCCGGACGAAGTTTCCAAAATATTTTGATAAACGGATGTCAAAGCTCCAGCGACCACCGGTAGGTCACGACCCATAGCTGGAGAAGCGCTGTACTGGCGGTACGTTCTTACGAGCGGAATGTGTAATAACTTACTCTTGTAGCGCACGGTAACGAGGCAGTACTAGAGTGTAAGGACGCGTATAAATAATAAATTAATCACTTGGCTCTCCGGTGTTGTAAGTCGGCCAAAGCCATAGACTGGGACACTTGGCTCGTTTTCCCCCTTAAAGCGGTAGTGGGCGTTATAGTGAGCGCAGCGTAGGTGCCAGGCAGGGTTTGAATAATAGAACACAGGATGGTGGCTTTGCGCCTGCAAGTTATACCGCATGCCAAGCACCGACATAAAACGAGAAAGCGTAAATTTCATCGAGAAAATGTCGGTCATATTTCAAAGTAGTAAAGTAATCCGCTGGGAAAAGTGAGCTGGAACGAAGTCTAACGGATAGCGTTCTTAAATTGATGAACCGAATTCAGAGTGGTCCTGCCAAACGGCATTCCAGCATAACATTCTGTAATACCTAAATGTTTTTAAAATTTTTTTTTTTTTAAACAAATTAAGTACTGAGGATCCTAGAGTCAATTTGTTAGTAATATGTTTAACGGAAATTACAATATTTGAACTATTTTTAGTCCTGTGACCGAACATCAGTGTTTTGATTTGGGGCTACTGCTCGATGAATGTAGGAAAAAAATGCGTGAAACTCAAATAATTTAGTTCTTGAAATATGAAACATTGAATGAGTATATAATCAGAAAACATCATAAGTAATAAGAAGACAACATTGTATTTGTGATGGCTATATTTCGACATGATTGAAGTTCATCCTCATGGATATAATATTAAAATTTATATGCTGTGCACTCATATTTGAAAGAAGGAGAAAGAAGCTATTGCAAATTTATTTTAAAACCTGGCATTTTTCCTTTGCGTGTAGTTTGAACAACATTAAGTCACCACACAATCGCACTTCCACTAATCTCTTGACATGAATCTCAGCCTGGAAAGCCTTTGACAGTCGAATCATCATTTGTGGGTCAAGTGTAAGCTGATAACGTATGTGTTTTCCTGCGATGAAATTATATGTTTCGATTGGAGCTTTTCTAAAATGCGGTAATTTACCACAGCTTCAGTGAACCACTCTGAAACAGTAATTTCATTGTAATGTTATGGAAATTTCTAATTTTATTTTGCACTGTGGTTATCAGTTTTTTCCACGCCTGACACATCCAACATCAAAGTTAATTCACTGGCGAAAAACGTCGCTACTGCGACGAAAAGCGTAGCAAAATACCGAACGAGCCAACTTTATTATGCTGGAATCCCGGGATTCCCGGGAAATTGAGTTTGGCAGCACATACGAACGCGTACAAACTTTGCTCGTTATTGACTGTGTGCTTTCATGACCACCCCAGGCATCTCACATGGCAATCAACAAGGCGCGAAAACAGTTGCACTTCGTTAGGTTTTCTTTCTTTTGTACATAGGTAATTAAGTAAGGCAGTTTAGCATCTTCTGTCGTCGGTCACGCTCGACTAAGGCGTGGAAAGTGAGAGTGATGTCTCCCGTGTTCATGTTCTCGTAAATGGAAAGCAAGTGAAAACAATCTGATAATTATGAGTGCAGAGAGTACTTACATATATCCCGGAACTTTTTTGACAGCCTACTAAAGCTAAAGCAGGTACACTGGGCCGTGTCGTCTTCGCCGTCCGAACTGTACTTTTCCAGCTTTTTCGCCTTCTTGCGGCGTTTCTTCTCGTCCGCTAGCTGCTGTTGAACGGAGAACTTATCCCGCAGCTTCGGGCTACCGTTCTCGTCGATGTAGTACAACGTATGCTCCAGTCCGTCAAACTTGTTGATCATCTTCGGATCGATGGAGAACGCTTGGAGCAGGCTTGGATCGACGGTTTTCCGCTGAGACCCGGAAACCGGACCGACCGGTGCCGTAGCCTGGTTACCTGCCAGGCCTCCCGTATCGCACGGTGCAGCAGCTTCCGTCGTACACCGTAGCTCAATCTCATCCTTCTTAGGTGCTACTAGTATATCACTACTACTATCACAGGTGGTTTCTATAGCTTTCAAAGCATTTGGCCGAGGATTGTTCACATCCGGTAGACTCTGGCAAGTTCGTTTGCTCATTTTGCTATCAGTCTTGCTCTCGTGTGATTGATCCAGTTCGATGACATCCTCTTCCTCCTCCTCTTCCTCCAACTCCTCCTCGCCGTCGTCTTCGCCTTCATCCTGTTCACCGATTACGTAACTGGACTTGGTCGGTGCAGCCTGACCTTCCGTGTATTCCTCCACGGCACTCAGGTGCTGCGTGCTAGTGCTAGCACTGTGCGTCCGATCGATATCCGAGGTAGACATGAACACGCCCGAGTCCGATGCCGCGATGGTACCCGTACCGAGTGGCGGAAACGTTTGATTGTGTCGCTGGTCGTCCGTTTCGCACTCGCTGTTGTGCTTGATGGCCTCTGCCCGACGACGCACGATCGCTGCCATCGTCAATGGAGTGTCCTCCAGATTGATCTGCTTCATTGTGCCCGAATCTTGACGGACGCTATCTCCGTATTCTGTTGTGTGGATTTGTGTAGGAATTCCACAGAGGAGAAGAAAACAACAAGCTCTAATTAGCACAGTTACAGACGAATATGACAACACTCTCGACGGCGTCTCTGCCGCATACTACAGCGGTCACACGAAGAGCAATCGATTATCACCGCAATCCCTCTCCTTAGTACGAGCAGACGCACACGCCACCGTCGTCTTCCTCCTGAGAAAGATGCTCGCCGTCTATGTGTCACTTTGAAACATTCAAGCCTTATCACTGCCGAGCCGCGCACAGACAATTAGCGTGTGAGAGTTCGTTATGTTTATTTTTCGCATGTGAATTGATCCGATAATGGGCGTTGTCCGCACGCGCGCGCGAAAGCAGCAACTTCCAAAGTGGTGTATTGCGCCGTGCAACTTCTCACTTACGACTAATCCTGGTATGCTTTGATGCAACGTCCACGACACTACGAGATGTTTACGAACGGACTTACCACAACAAAGGGAGAGAGACACAAAGTGAGAGGGAGATAGAGAGAGAGATATAGGTGCAGAGGAACCTAAGAGCAAGATCTCTTACTTACGGAGGTGGCCGTCATAGAGGGGTCGGGAACCTGGGCTAGATTTTAATGGATGCTATTTTTAGCAACGATCAAACGCAATAACAAATCTCTTTTTTGGGACGGTTGATTGATGGTTATCTTCTCTTTTTTTTTCGGTAGTTCGCCGTGGCTACTTACTATTACTGACCTGGCATGGAACCTTTCTGGTCAATAACGTGCAGCGCCGAACCGTTTGTTTGGCTGGCCACTGAGTTATGTCTTATGTACATTCCTTTCTCTCTGTTTTCATTATATATTGAGGCGATTCTTTTGCGATCTTCCATTCCGGTGGAATGTGAGGGAGGTATTCAGTGGTTGTTAAAATTTGCAAGCTGGCTTTGAACTGACGATTAAAGAATTTTAAAGTTTCGAACCGTCCTACTAATTTGAGGAAAATTATGGTAAGGGTAGATTTCTTTTAGTTCTGCACACGCAAAAGAAAAATTCACGATGCAAAAATTTAACCAGTCTGTTCGGCAAAATTTCGTAAGTTTATAAGAAAAATGCAATGCAGTAATTAGCGGATTTTGCCAGCTCTCTTTTTTGATATTTTTTTCTAAAGTTCTACGAAACCCATAAGCTTTTTCAGCGTCCTTACTGCACCAAAGTATACCTTAAACTCCATCTTGAAGATGAATGAGAAAGGTTTGGAATTACGGTTATGTGAAATGATTGAAAGTTAAATGTCTGATAAGGGGAAAGGCTCACGAAATCGGGTCATTACTATATTTGAAATCGATAGACTACCAAACGTGATCCACAATGCTAACCGGAAATAGATTACGTTTTTTTGTATAAAGCTGTTCCACACTCAAGCATTGATATGGCTTAAATAATTTAGTAGATTTAAGTTGGGCTCTGGATCCGAAGGTTCTGGGATCGTGATTGGTTCTGAAATTGATTTTTTCATAGTTTCAAATTCGGCATAAATGCGGGCGTATGCAGAATGAAGGATTTGAAAGATTTCAACGTCAAATAATTGAAAATTTGCCCTTCTCCTTCTTCATCTTCTAGGCTTTTTACGCTTCAGTAGCGAGTTGTTCCAGCTCTCAACTTAGTGTTCTAGAAGCTGCACTTCTACAGTTATTAATTAGGAGCTTCATATGACAACGATTGCAAAGGGCTGGTAGTGGGTATGTGACATAATAGTAGTGACTTTAGTGACTAAAATAACAAAAATAGTGACCAAAATTCACACCATGGTTCTCTTCCCAAGGAACATTGCAAGTTTTATAGAAGTTGTAAAGCAATCTTCAAGTCTGTATCATGGTATCAGTGATGAGAAAAAAAATCCAATGTCCAGGATCACGCTTGATTTTCGTAGACAAAAATCAACAAACAAGTCGCAGCGGATGATATTACTAGCTCGAATATCGTAGCTACGAATATCAAGCTCAAGAACAAATGATGAGTTTCATGATTTTTGTTTTACATCCGACCGCGACCCGAAACTACCGTCACTGCTGGCAACAGTAGCTTCGTGTCTGCCCCATCGGTGAAGAGTAAAAAGAGATTGCAAACTATACTTTCTCTTTCCAAGCAAACGATATGCAACGGAATCATTTTTGTGCCGAGTTAACGTGCACGTTGTGAATATTCTCCCAATATAAAAGAACCTTGTAAAATCAATATCAAGCATGATATTTTGTTCCAATATCACACGTGATAGTGAGAGCGAATGAGAGCGGAAAAATATCATCGCCTACAGAACCCTTATAAAACCAAAATTCACTAAATGCGCGCGGTGCACTGATTCTCTGAAATCCACAAAGTTAAATAAGGGCTTTGATGTAATTTCCGTCCTACTAAGCACAGCCCGCACTTTACCTCTCTTTCTTGAACGGGTTTTAACAATAAATTAAATGTTTCTATCAAAGATGACTTCTAAATGTATTCCCCTTTCCATAAGTATCGTTAAATTTGATAAAGAGCCACACATTGTTCAGATATTGTTAAAAATCTAACACTGCTTCTTGATTCCAAATTCGTCCTACGAGTTTCAATTCCGTCCAAACGCATTAAAACGCCATTGGATTTTCTTCGTTCTACGGATGAAGGTAGAAAAAGCGAGTTCGCTAGGAGCGCTTCTTTTGTTCTGAGAACATTTAGTGTAAATATTCACACAATACGCTGTAATAGGCTTTGTGTTGTAGCTTGTGAACTAACGTATCGGTACAAACGTATTACTGATTTGTGCACGGTGAAATCATTGATTAAATTGATGTTTTCTGCTCGATAGAACGGAAATGGACGATTACGACGAAGCAGCGCTCTATTCTACAGTCAATCTCAAAATTTGCTAGTTTTTGTAATTGTAAAGCAGCGGAGAAGAAAAGAAACACATGAACACACACACAGGAATAACGAAAACGCAAAGTTTAGCCCCCGTATTCCATTTGTTCCCTGCTCTACTCTTTGTGTGGTTTTCTTCCACAAAGATAAGTTTGAAAAGAGTGCGAAGCAAATTGGAGAACCACACTCTCTTTGCCGAGTACTGTGCGATGCATGTGAAAAGTTCCTCTGCAAACACTCCGAGGCGATTTCCAACCCTGAAACCAATCATGAGCAATTTTGATGCTTCTTTAAAATAAAGCAAGTGGTTTAAGGATAATTTGTTTTCGAAAAATCAGTAATTGAATAAGCAAGAATACGGTCCAATTCAAACTTCCATTTCCTCACTATGATGCACTCATTTTTCTACCACGCTGTTTTGAAAACAAACAATTTACTAAGATGATTTTAAGTTCATTTTCAAGTTGCCGGACTTAGACAAGTATTGGCAATTTTAAGACCAATAAATGTTAAAGACATATGATAAAGAAACTTCTGTACTTCTGGGAACAACACGTTTTTCATGATCGTAGTCTGTAAAAAATCAAATTATTCTGGAACGAGGAAAATTTTCCATGGTGAAAAGATCACGGGCATTGAAAATGTTGCATGCGTCTAGGACTAAAAATCTCGATCTTGAAAAGACATTTTATGATTTCGGGATAAATTTTAGAGATTTTGGACCATTCATGTTTTAATACTGAGACTGGGAGATATCAAAGATAAACAAATTAAGAAAGTTGGTGCGGTCATGAGGGTTTTTTCTCTCAATATTTTGAATATTTAGCTCACAGTCCTTGAAACGTTCAAATGCTTCTGAAAGCAAAACATTTTATGATCTTGAACAAAGATTTTTTTTAATCTGGTCATGGAAATTTTTTGATTCCGGATTGCAAGTTTGGAAAAATATATACTATAATTCTTTTCTAAGAACTCATGATTCTGTGACATCATTTTTTTTTATGTTATAACAAATTTTAAAGCAACCGGGCTTCAAATATTTTGAGCTTGAACATTTTCTTACGCCATTTTTCGAAATCTTTGGCTTGGACAAGTTGTCGAAGTAAAAAGCTATGATATTGGAATCAAGGCGCAAGAAAACTTAAGATACATTAGAAAATATTATCAAATGAACTCTTAAGTTTAAAATCTCTATAGTAAAAAAATCAAATGTTTCTAAATATCAACGAAAATATTTAAGTATTTTCGAAAACTAATATAGAGGAAATGGATGTAATGTCGGCCTAAATGCCCCTAGTTTGGGCCCATACATAAATTCAGCATCGACTAAATTGTCAATAGCGACCAAAATATAAGTACCGTCCAAATGACGCGTTCATCTAGATATAATTGATAATTAGCAGATTTTTAGCGATGGGCCCAATCTTAGATCGATAGGCCAACATTAGAGCCATTTCCTCTAATTCGAACTATTATTTTTCTTTTAAATCCTGGGCACATACAATTAAGATTTCACGACAACAAAATATTGTAGAGATCTAGAGGATGGGAAATTATTTCGGACCAAGGACTTCGAAACACTTTCAAGATCCTGGAATTTGTAAAAAAAAACAAATGCATGTCTAAATAATAGCATACAGAAGCCTCATAATACCAAAATTGATACAAGGATTGTGCATTATAAAAATCTTCGTGATTTAGACAAAAATCAATATGAGACTGAGGAAATATTCTTAGATCCCAGGTTTCACCCAGAAATTATTTCAAGACTTTGGAACTTGAAGAAGTGTCAGGAATCGAACAATTTAAAGATTGTCTATAGAATTCTGTTGAGAATGCCGTGGATTATAAAGGAACTTAATTAAAATGAAACGCTGAGGATTCCTGAAAAATCCTGGGAAAATATATAAAGAAGCTCTGTGTACAATTCCAAGATAATTTGCAATCAAAATAGTCCTATGAAATTCTGAGGTGAATTCCAAGATGCATCTGGAAAAGAAAGGAAGTTCTGAATTGAATTCCTAGGTGATTCTAAAGAGACTTGTATTTGAATCGTGAGGAGCATACCTAAGAATTTCAAGGAGTGTTCAAAGAGATTTATAAATATAAATTGTTCTGAGGCTAATTTC